TGTAACCGTCAATTAGATATAATGACCAATAAGCGTTCATACAATCGTGCTCCAAACAATTTTAATTTCAACGCTGAAGCACAATGAAATCTATCACAACAATTGTGTATGATTTACTGCAACAGTTGTACTATACCCATACAAGTTTTGAGTGTGAAGCTGAAGAACAAGCAAATTTTCGGATAATCTGTCTCACCTTGCCTGCCTAGATCTAAGCTATATCTTGATTCCCCACCCCCGCTCCCGTCCCCGCCTTACCCCGCCATTCCATCCAAATTCTCTGCCTGCCCCGTCGAGCAAAAATACTCCCCGTCCCGTTTCGATCTCTGGTATATAGAGGACTGCTCTCCAAGAAATATTTAATGCTAGCGAATGTATCATATATTTAGAGACAGAAGGTGACCATATTATCAATATATAGATTTCGATAAATGATAATAGAAATAAACAGAAACACAAAACAGAAATTATTATTTTTGTGTAAAGATGATTTTATACTTACAAAAAAAAAGACTTTTGAGAGTGACTGTTTTCAATTATTAACAGATATACCACCATATTCTTCAGTGCATTTCTCCCTTTTCCTCTACTTGGACTGATAAACAACACAAAATCAATCACGACTATTGCACATCCAAGTTTAACAAACAAATAATGATAGTTTCTTTTATCTATTTGACATCAACACATTCATTTTAGTCTTGATAAATGAATAAATATTTCATCAATAGACAATACTAATCTTTTTTCTGTGGCAATAGACGATATGTTATATGAGTATTCGTATGTTATTATTTATCCCGCCGGCCGCAAATGAGTTCATTTATCTACATACTTACATATTTGTGTATATAGCGATGTCTTACATTGAAATTAAACATATTCATACACAACATAATGTGCTCAACGTTAGTCAAAAATGATGTCCTTACCTTCAACCACTATAAATCATTACCATATAAATATTTCATTCTTTAATAAAGTAAGTGACTACTATGCAGGTTTTTTAATTAACATCTTAAATAATATAGTTAGGTACTTTGTTTCTGTCAACAGAATATCTGCTGGTATTTTGTTCTAAATAATAACAATCCTTCAAAGTAACATAGCTAAGTAAAGAGCAAGGTATTGCTGGTCGCATCTTTCAGCGAAAATATGTTTCTGTATAGAAAGCAACACAATTTCCTGTATCTAATATTAAACATATCAAATTAATATGTTTTATAAATTGACTCTGGTTACTGTTTTCACGCATGTTAATGAAGTCCAAGTTTTTTCCTTGGTATTTTAACTGATTTTTGAGTTGTTACTGTTGTTCCATTTATTGTTTGAGGATGCTTATCTTGATCTAATGGCCAGATTTATTTTTAAAAAACAAAAACCTCTGATTTTTATCGATTTTTTGATTAGAATCAGTTAAAATCAATTGTTTGTTTTTACTTGAAAGTATGAATAAAAACAAGACTCAAAATTAGAAAAAGAGAAAATTTTCAATTGATGAATTTGACGTGATGAAAAGAAAAAAGTGCATAGACTTTCATCGGCAAATAAGTAGAACATATCAATAAGAAGAGGACGAACAAGTTTTAAATAGTGATGTAACAAATAAGCAAAGTACTTTTTTTTACAAAGTATCACCAAGATACTGTACTTGTTCTGTAATGTGCAAAGCAGTACTTAGGTGTGGGTGTGGAGTGTGGGTGTGGGTGTGGAGTGTGGGTGTGGGTGGAAGTGTAGCAATTCTCTTAACCCACACCCACACCCTGTGAGGTATGGTGTAGGTGTGGCTGTAGGTGGGTGTGGGCTAAGAAAATTGCTACACTTACACCCATACCCACAACCGCACTATTCTCCTAGTCGAGAACATTAGCTTTACTTTGACTAGGGTGTGGGTGTGGGCGTGGGGTGGGTGTGAGTGAGAGTGTGGGGTGTCGGTTTACTGTTTTATTCGTTCACACACACCACATCTACATACATATTTCACACCCACCCACACCCAAATGGGAAACTACTTCGGTAACTTCCCAGACGACCGAAGGGAATTTTCGGCTCTTTCTGGGTGAACAGTAAAATCTGGCTATATGGATACCCTGCGGGGACGGGTTCATCAGTAAGCAGTTCGCCGAAGCAATACCCAGTATTGGTGAGTACGCCCGGGAGATGAGAAAAGTGGCAAATCAGCCACAGTATCGATTTGGGCACCGGCCCGACGGAGCGCTACGGCAGAATCGCGGGTAAGCCGTACGCGGTGCGTAAGGACGGCCGCGTGCATTCCAACCAGGCGATCTTCGAGCCGGACAGAACTCGTCCGAGCTAAAGAGGGGCATTCTGAACGTTCTATGATGTCGGTGGAAAGACCAACGAAGAGTAAGAGTCCGGAGGTGGTGACGATTGATGATGACGATGATTGTCCCATTACATCGTCTGAGACTGGCCTTCCTCAGTTTGCTACAAAGGTAGCTGGAAGGGGGGGGGGGGGGGTCCGCCTACTTTCCCGGTTAAAACCAACAAAGTTATCTCACAAGGTGTTAAGAGCTGGATAAAGAAGAAAAAGGCTAATTGGAAAGCGATTAAGCTTTCCAGACTAAATAATGCCGGGCTGTCTAAAAAGCAGCCCTGTACGTCAGGTGGTGTCCCGTCTCCTTAAAAATTTAGGGGCGATGGTGGTAGTGATAAAATCAGTGATACACAAAAGTTATTAAACCCTCACCACAATCACCGGCCAAATCAACATAATCACTCTCTGAAAGATTGAATCGGACGTTAGGAGAGCCGAGGCTTAGAATTGGCGGTGGCACAACAAATGGATTAACAATTTCATTTGACATCACAAGCCCGATGGACGATCTAATGCTGGAAACAATGCTCCTTGGTGAACCTTGATTTTCCTTCTACCAGTGTCATTTATACTGGTGTTTTTCTTTTCTCTTTGTTCTTTTTGTTTTTACCGGTATGACCAGTCCTTTTTTGTTGACGTCATTTTTCCACCGGTTAAACCGGTATTTTGACTGTTTGTTTCTTTCAGCCGGTACAACCGGTTTGTTTGTTTTTCCATTGTGAAAGCTCACACACGCACACACATACATATATATATATATATATTTGTTGAACTGTTATAGATTTTTTTGAAGAAGTTTTATCTCAATAAAACAGAAAATAGTTGAAGTATCATCTATTAACAATTCAACAACAGCAAAAACGAACAAATAAACACACTACTGCTTCCGCTCTTAATCACATATTTTTTGAACACACCCACACCCTCACCGAGATAAGTTCAACAAATTGAATATGATAAAAATCGATGTACATTGAAATAGAAATTTTCTCGAAAGTTGTTCATAAATAGTTTTCGACATACTTCTACACTAAATCAAGGTCGAAAATAAAATCTAAAGACATATTTTGATTTCTGATAAAAAGGCACATCTATCTATACTAAATATAGTTTTCATCTTGAATAAAAACGTCTTTGAAATATGATGAAAAAGATCTTCAACAACATCAAAATTAATATTATTTAGAGCATTCTTTTGGTCAAGGTTTTTCAAAAAAAAATCGAATTGCTTGATATGATGCTATAGCTTATTTCATAGAGCTTCACTATTCTCATCAGAAATCAAAATATGCCCTTTTTTAGATTTCATTTTCGACCTTGATTTAGTGTAGAAGTATGTCGAAAAACTATTTATGAACAACTTTCGAGAAAATTTCTATTTCAATGTACATCGATTTTTATCGAAATCCTTAGAATTAAGAGCTCTTACAAGACTTAATATCTGATTTGTTGACCTGAGTTCGGTATGAAGTAGTTAATTTCATATGGAATTACTCATATGATTTAGTATTATTTTAATTTTTGAATCAACAATGCTTAACTATCTCAGGTAAACAAAAGTTAGCGGTCTTAACCAACTATAATTCATGATCGCAAATGAACATATTATCAAATATCCATGTAATATAAATCTAATAGATTCTCATGTTTTAACAATAGTTTTAGTAATTACTATACGACCTTGATTGCAATCATAAAATGGTTCGAGTAACTGAATTAATGTAGATTTACTACATCCGTTTGAATCTTATATTAATCTGAATATATTTTTCAATTGATTCAATTTTAAATAAATTTTCTTACCAACAAATGCAATAAATTGACCTGAAAGTACAATGATGTTTGATAATTGAAGAGTATAAACAAGACTAACAAATCAGATCTTATTTCTAAATCAAATTCATTGAGTACAGTTATTAACTTACGTGTTGAATATGAGAAAATAATTTTCTCAAACTTGATTGATTCAAAAAAATTATCCTGTGAATAAAATAAAAAGAATAGAATATTACATTTGAAGAGTCGATTTAATCTTTTGGCTGATACAACTGATCATGCAAATTCTTCTGAACTATTTTAGTTAGAAGTAATTTAATAATAGATTATTATAAAGTACTATGGTTATATATCACTCATAATATTGTTAAACAGCATTCGTCATTATGATAAACAAGAAAGAAATGTTAAAAAATAAGTATAGATCTCAATGACGTACTTCATATTTATTCTACACATTATAAAATCATAGTAAGTATAAATTTGTTTACAAAAACTTTCTTGTTGAAAAATAACATATATCTTAACTTCAATTTCATTAAATGTCGCTATTCTACTATTAGCTTTTTTAAAATACAATCAATGAGGGTATTGGTGTGAGTGTGGGGTGTGCGTGTGGGGTGTGGATGTGGGGTGAGGGTGTGAGGGTGGTTATGAATTGTCGCTTAAACAACTCATACAGCCACACCCACATCGACACCGACACCGGCACCGACACCCACACCGACGCCCACACACCCACACACTCACACCCACACCCCACACCTCACCCACACCCCACCCACACCCATACCCCACACCCTACATTAGTTTTTCTATTTCCTGAAATTTTCATCGAGATCGGTTGTACCGTTTAGAAGATAGGTTTCTGACGGGGGGTTCCCCCTTAACATACCTGTAAACATGTTTTTATAAATATTACGAAAAAACAATAATAAATGAAATAATTCCATCTAAAAACGAAAACAAAATTATAATACAAACATATTGAGAAACAAATTTAACATACAATCGAAATATAACTGTAACTCGTTTTGTTAAAAAATCATGAGCATACCAAAGAAAATAAAAACATGCTATAAGATATCCAAGACCAAATAAACTAATTCGTGTTATACCAGCAAGATAAACAATTGATAAAACAATCCATCTACCACACATAAATATTGCATATTTTATACGATTAAGCATATGTCGTTTAGTTGTTACAAAATCTCATGTCGGATTATTTTTATAAATATTATAATCATAGATTATTTCACGATTTGATCCACCAGCATCAGTATAAACATGATATTTTTCATTTGTTTCATATCCAAATACATGCCATTGTTGACAAGAAAATAAAAATTGAAAAAAATCAGCTATAAAAAAAAGAATTTTAAACATATATAAAAATTTTAATATATATACATATATATTACTGAATAAATGTGTTGCTTCTGGTGAATCTATATAATGAGGTAAATAAAGCCAACGTTTTAATTGTGACCAACCCTGTATGTTAACATTTGTCCATGAATATTCTATAGATGATTAAAAATTTTTATTAGACATTTCTTTTATATATATTTAGTGTTAAATAGAAATATACGAGATCAACATTTGAAAGTTTCTCGAAACCAGGAGTAAGAGGAAAAAAAATGTTGTCTGAATGAAAAACTAAAAATTAGAGTTACTGTACTAAACTCTTCTTAATGAATTAATTTTGCAAACTTTAATCAGAATATTTTACATAAAAATAGAACTAATTTTAACGGCTTTTTTAGCAGAAAATTTTAAAAGACTTAGATAAATGTTATTTCTTAGCATTGAAAATGTTAAAAATCATTTTGAGTTTTTTTTTGAAAAATCTTTTTTATGCAAAGTTATGGAAATTTATGAGATACATGTTAGGAGTGTGATTATGATTAAGAATTGTTTTAAAATATTGTACAAATAAATTTTGCAAATA